TTAAGATATATAAAAACCTACTTCTGTGAAGATTATATTCTAGCATTACGGATGGGGAGAGGGCTGGGAGGCATTGAAGAAAATACACAATGAACATAATAGATAAGTCAATTGCTTGGTGTGTTAAATGAAAATAAGTGTTTTTTTGGGGGGGAAAAGGTAGTGAAGGGTCAGGGCAATCAGGAGTGTTAGGGTGAGGGTTTCAGCTGTCAATGGGTTGTCAGGATAAGCCTTCCAGGGAAGGTGAGATTTGAGCACATCTTTGGAAGTGAGGGAGTCATCTGAGATTACCTGAGAAAACACTGTATAGTGGGGCGGGTGGGAAACATCTCCATCTTAGGCTGGACCTGAGGTGGCTGAATGAGAAGGTGAATCAAGCCAGAAGGGACAGTGATGGTCAACTCTTCAATGCGGGACAGGCTCATCTGCTTCAGAGTTTCTTAGAAGAGGTTCTCAGATCTTTGCAGTTTCAAGTTGGAGAGACCCTAGTTCATGACCCGCTCTTTGTATTACAGATGTTCCTTCTTTTTCCCCTACTGACCCCTCCTCCTTGCTCCCACCCTCCTCCTGCCTGTCCCCACACTGTTGTCTGTGTCCACTGGTTATGCATATATGCATATAAGTTCTTTGGTTTATTTCTTCCCACCTCCCCCAAACCCCCTTCCCTTTGAGGTTTGTCAGTCTAACAACCAATTTGTACTTCTTAATCCCTTTACCTTTTTCACCCATTCCCCCAACCCACCTCCCATCTGGCAACCAACAAAATGTTCTCTGTATTTATGAGAATGTTTCTGTTCTGCTTGTTCATTTTTGTTTGTAGATTCAATTGTCGATAGATATGTATTCATTGCCATTTTATTGTTCATGTTTTTGTTGTTATTTTTCTTCAAGAAGACCTTTCAACATTTCATATAATAATGGTTTGGTGGTGATGAACTCCTTTAGCTTTTTCTTGTCTGGGAAACTCTTTACATGTCCATTAATTCTAAATGACAGCTTTGCAGGACAGAGTAATCTTGGTTGTAGGTTCTTGTTTTTCATCACTCTGAGTATTTCTTGCCACTCCCTTCTGGCCTGCACCATTTCTTTTGAGAAATCAGCTGACTGTCTTATGGAAACTCCCTTGTAGATAACTAACTGCTTTTCTCTTGCTGCTTTTAAGATCCTCTCTTTGTCTTGAACCTTTTGCATTTTGATGATGATGTATCTTGGTGTGGGCCTCTTGGGGTTCATCTTGTTTGGGATTCTCTCTGCTTCCTGGATGTGTATGTCTGTTTCCTTCACCAAGTTAGGGAAGTTTTCTGTCATTATTGTTTCAAATAGGTTTTCAATTTTTTGTTTTCTCTTTTCTATTTCTGGCACCCCCATGATGCAAATGTTGGCATGCTTGAAGTTGTCCCAGAGGCTCCTTATACTATCCTCATTTTTTTGGATTCTTTTCTCTTTTTGCTGTTCTGATTGGGTGTTTTTTGCTTCCTTATATTCCAAATCGATGGTTTGCTTTTTGGCTTTACCTACTCTATTATTTAATCTCTGTAAATTATTATTTTAGTTAGTGCCTCCTTCATTTCTGATTGGTCCTTTCTTATGCTCTTGAGGCCTTCACTCAGATCATTGAAGTTCTCACTAAGTTCATTGAGCATCCTTATAAGCAGTGTTTTGAACTCAGCATCTGTTAGGTTGCTTATCTCCATTTTGTTTAGCTCTTTTCCTGGAGTTGTGTTCTGTTCTTTCATTTGGGACATGTTTCTTTGTCTCCTCATTTTGGTCGCCTCCCTGTGTTTGTTTCTATGTATTAGGTAGAGTTGCTATGTCTCCTAGGCTTCCTAGGGTGGCCTATTGTAGTAGGTGTTCTGTAGGGTCCAGTGGCACAGCCTCCCTGGTCTCCCAGCTGGGTCCTTGAGGCGCATTCCTTGTGTGGACTTTATACCCTTCTGTTGTAATTGAGTCTTAATTGCTGTTGGCACACCAGAAAGAGGGTTTTACTCAGGCTGATCAGTTGCAGCGACTGGCTGTGCCCACTATCCACTGACCTCTGGCTACCTTGGATGATCAGCTGTGCAGGGGCCCACCACACAGAACAAGACTTACTTCAGCAAGGCTCTGGTACCCACTGAGTCCGTTCTTTGAGTGTGTCACTTGTGGAGCTGGTTGGGTGGTGGTGCTTCACAGTGTTCTGAAGCTGTCCATTGGCTCTGGGGCCAAGTCTACCCAGGACCACCCAGCATAAGCTACAAATCAGTCTTCAGATGACTGCTGCTTGTGCTGAGCTTGGCCATGCCCAGGCAAAGCCCAGTTGTGAACCAAGGCTGGCTGCTTCTAGTGCCAGGCCTGGGACCACTTAATGAGAGGTATGAGGCTTGCTGATACCAGATGCTGCTTGTTTGAGAGAATTTAGAAAAATCTGAAGCAGGATCCAAGACAGGCCATTCCTATGATAAAGCAACTGGTAACAGCTTGGGTGGGCCTGAAAGTTGGGTGGGGCAGGACCTCAGGGAATCACCAGGGTTGATGACCTGCTCTTTACTTGAGGAGTAGATGTTCAGGAAGTAGAGAGTGCCAAATATGCAACTCAAGTGATTTAAGGTGCAATTAGATTTGGTTTAATAATTTAAAATACTTTTCTCTGGTAGAGATTGGGCTATTAGTATGTCATGGGAGCCTAGCATTTATTATTCTCTCAAAAACCCATTTGTAGTGGAAAATGTGCTGAGCCTCATTTGTGAAGATAATTATAGTTGATATCTTTCAGATATCTGTCAAGTTCCCAGTGATTTCTCTCTTCTCAGGGAGCTGCCTTCAGAATCTAAGGTGGGAGGCCTTTCTGTCCACATTTCCACTGCATGAGCATATCCTCTGGTCATAGCTCATTGGACCAAAGCTGGAATCATGAACAAAACTGAGCCAATAAGGCTTTTTCTCCCAGGAATTCAGAATTGGAGCCAAGAGGGCCAGGCCATGCTGTTTGACTGGAACTGTAAGATGCAAATTAATGGTCATATATCACCAGTGGTCTTGAGGAACCGAGAAAGTCCATCTGCAGGGAGAGAGTAAAGCAAATGCATGGAGAAGAGCTTAGGGAAGACAGAGAGTTCTGCCCTGCAGGTGCCAAGGCACAGTTCTTCCCTGAAGTCCAGGTGCCTCCCAACTCTTAGGTTCAGTAAAACACTCCTCTATCCTTATAATACATCATGTTGATTGTTTTGGTTTTTCAGTTGGATTTCCAATATGGTGATGCAAAAGGTCTGTAGCAGGGAGTGCACTTTGATTTTTCTCCCCATTAGGGATAATGGGTCTCATTCTCATTCATTCATCTGTTCATTCATTCACAAAATATGGTGGGGTTCATATTAAGTGTTAGTGATTGAGACAGAAGACTGAGTAAGACATAGTCTTTGCACTCAAATAATTCATCTGTCTTGATTCTTCCTTTTTAAGGTGGTTGGTTAGGGTGTGGCAGGTGTAGTCTTTGAAATAACAGTTCTCTTTTTGAGCTTGATGGACAATTTAGCTTATTTAGAGCTGATGGATATAAAAAGTACTTTGTGGATTACAGACTGCTGCACACTTATTTTTCACTGGTTATGGTAATATCTTCTATTTGAAATATTCAGCTTAGAGTCTCTGTAGGAACATACATTAAACATACTCCTTTGAAAGGATGCATTTGATTTAAGAATAAAACATAAGTTTTAAAATTGTTCAATTTAGCTGGAGATATGCTGAAAAATTTTAAGTCACTTTATTTTTTCATTAAATAATATCCTGAGATTTCTAACATTTTGGGAAAAGGTGCTTTTTTTGTGACCATAGGATATAAGCATATCAAATAACGATTGTGAGCTTCTGGAGAAAACAGAAGGTAAATAAAATCCAACTGAAATAGCCCAGCCTGTGTGGCTCAGCGGTTGAGCATCGACTCATGCATGAAAAGTTCAATTCCCCATAGGGAGTTGTGGACCAAATCCCCAGTAGGGGGCATTCAGGAGGCGGCCGGCTGATCTCTCATCAATGTTTCTATCTCTCTCTCCCCCTCCCTTCCTCTCTCTCTCTAAAAATAAATAAATAAATAAATAAATAAATAAATAAATAAATAAATAAATAAATAAATAAAATAATTAAAAAATTATTTAAAAAAGCACACAACTGAAACAGAAATAATTCCTAAGAAATGAGCTCACATACACCTGGGATTGGTCCAGTCATCTGAGAGAATTATGTAGCAGGTGGGATTTGATAGCTCCTGCTCACAAGAGAGCCCCCAGCCCTCCTTTTAGCAGATACTTACTTTCAAAGACCCACTCATACCTCTTTCCCTTTCTAGCATGAGAGTACTTAGACTTTATAGTTCTCTAGAGAAAAATATTTATTAAGGTGAGTGCATTTAAAACTCTTGTATACTGCCATGGAGTCCAATGCCCTCAATGTCAACAACCAGTTAACAGAACAATGAAAGGTTAGGGACAGAAGAGCTATAGAGATCACCTAAGCCCCATTAAGAACACGGACTTTGGAGACCTGGTTGATATCTGCCCTCTGTGGTCTTTGTTAACTCTCTGGACCACATGTATAAAGCAAAGATAAGACTTCCTTTCTCATGGAGGGGTATGAGGATTAAATTAATGACATAGATCAAGTTGGCTAAAGTGTATCTGACTTGTAGTAGGTGATAATTAAATAGTAGTAGCTATTGCTATTATTGTTTATTACAAGTGATTTTCCCCGTAATCATCCAACTAATCAGTGCAAGCTTCAGGTCTTTTGAGTCTCATCATGGCTACATCTTGGGTACTATACTTCCTTCTTTTGATGGTGGCCTTAAAAGTGAAATCATTATAAAAGAAAACCTAGAGAAAGATGCCTTTGCATTGATAACATTCGCTTTAACATTATCGTCATTCTCATTTGCTCAGTCCTTGTCAATATCCCTCTTTTATGATTATAGTTAAAAAGGGATGTGACCATTACATTTCTTTTGAAGCCTTTTAAATTCATCTTACTTGAAGTCTTCGAGGTGGATGCCTTTTAATAATACTTGTTTCTCCCTGTTCCAGTGGGATGTCAAAATACATGGCCCTGGGCACTTGAAGGATTGGGGGAGAAGCAAGAAAAAAACCATTAGAAACAATTTACTATTAATTTAGATTGACAATGAGCTTTTAGACTTTGTTAACACAATTTTATACCTTCTTTGTTCTATATGTCTAACCTATGGGTTGAGTGTAAAGCAGGAGCCCTATGTGAATGCAAATGCAAAAACACCAGCCTAGACCCAGAATTTAATTTCTGCTTTCCCCATTTCCTCCCCAGATTGATATTTAGAGGAAGAGCTGCACAATTAAAAATGTGTTGATGACAGATGTTATTCAAACTCAGAAGTTGACATGAAAAATAGAAACTTAGTGATTTAATTTCATGAAATCACCCCAAAATAATAGAGGAAATCAGAGGAAATTATAACTTTAAGAAATGAAAAGAAATTCTCTTTTTAGATGGAAGAGATAGATAGCTAGGTATCAGGTAGAGAGGTGATGAAGAAGTGGAGCATGAGCGTGTAATAGGAATATGCAATGCTGAGCGTTGTATGTTCCTAACTCAATAGTCCCTCTAACTAGGGAAAGATATTCCCGCAAGGTACCACTATAATACATGACAATATTCTTTTCTGATAAAGAAAATATTACATTTCCCCCCTAAGCCTTGTTAGGAAACAGAGGCTGAAGAGATCCCTGATGAATTGGATTCTTTGGCCTGTTATCCTGGGCCCTTGGACTCCTACCCCGACCGACATTGCATGAATGGGCTCTTCCTCTCCTCTCCTAAGCTGGAAGCATTCTAATTTCTCGATTCTTGTGTAGACCATCCTGCAGTTCCACTTTGCATTTCAAACAGAAAAATAATCCTGGGTAATTGTGTGTTTCAATCCTTAAGACATTTCAGTGACCACCGTAAGAACTTCGCTGTGTCCTTATTTTCTTTCGGGAGATGCCAGCATTGTGAGCAAGACAGAAACAATCGCAACAGCAATGAGAGACATGTTGGATTTAAGAATCTAAATATTTTCAGCAAAATTTTCTTCAGTAGCCTGACTACTCCTTAATTGTCTACTATGATCTGAGTGATATCACTCCATTATTTAATTTGAGTCTCTTGAAATGATGTAGGCAGTGTCAAGTAGTTATTTTTACACCTTAGTCACAGTTGAAGAAAACTGAGGAAGTAAATTGCCCAAAGTCATATTATTTGCTGTTTGGTGGAGCTGGAGTTAGAATATGGGCCCCTTGAAAATAGTGGTCAAAATGCTCACCATCCCCTAGTTATTTATTTTTAATATGATTTTGCCACTTCAAAAATAAGAACATTTCCCAGCTGGGACTCTAATCATTAGAATCAGCTTTTAGCATTCAGTTGCCAAAATCTTAAAACTCTGGATAACGGGTTTAGATTGTTTCACTAATTATTCAATAAAATTAAGAGGCAAATTCTCACTCACATCCTTAGAAAGTTGAAGAACATAAAAACATAGGTGATCTGGAACGAGTCAGAGGTGGTCAGTTACAGAAAGTGGCCAAACATATGATTCTAGGTAATATCTACTAGGTGCTGAAATAGAACATAAGGCTTTTGGGCCAAGTTGAGCAATAATGGGAGCTCAGTAATGTGTTATTGATTCAGAATGTGAAGAAAAGAGAAAATTACATACACATATATGTATGTTTACATTGTGTATGTATACTTATCTTCCCAAGTTAGAATATATGCTTAATTATTATTGTGGTTGTCATAAAATATTTTATATGTCTTATAAAATATCCCAGGATGATTTATAGCCACTTCAGGCTCAGAGCTTCCTATCATAATGGGAAAAAATTCTCCTAGCTCTGCAGATGACCATGAAAATATGGGGTTGGGAGAGGGTGACTCATCCACTCATCTGTACTCAAGTAAATCAATTTTGTTTGGGGCGGTTTCCAAATTCACATTGGAATGAACTCCTACAGTGCTACCCTCAGAGCAACAAAACCTGATGCATTGAACGGTCCTGGAGAGAGGGCGTTAACTTCAGAATCTAACCAAAACACATGATCCCCACAGTGTATCACACGTTTATCGAAATAATTTTAATTGTCTGGCAACGCTAGGTATAAACATTGAAAGTACTATATGCTGAAACAGAATGGGTTTTCCTTCTCACATAGAATGGGGGCAGCCTTTCTGCAGCGTACACACCATTCGACTACGCCCAGAACACTTAGCAAGTGACAAACATTCGCTCTCCATTGAAAGATGTTCTCTTATATTTCAGTAATTTAGAAACTTTCTGAGATTATGGGGCTAGACAGGTAAATCTACCAATAGCTCTCCTTGTCACAACTACACAAGTCTCGCTCGGGGCTTTATGTTTACCTGCAGGACGTCTTCCGTACCAGGTCTCTCGCAGGGGTGGCAGCTGCCCTTCCAAAGCTTTAGTCCGGTCCTGCAGTCTTGCCAGCGAATATGTACTCTTTTCTTCCAGGTTCTGACTGAATGCAAAATCCACAGGGCCAGCCGGCATCTCTTCCTCTTTGTTTTGCAAAGGTGCTACCTTGGTCACTCTAGGGTGAGCCTTGGAGTGGCTCAGGCCCATTTTACGTTCAGGACAGAGAAGAGAAAACCATGAGGGAAGAGGTGCGTGGCCGTTAATGTAGGTTGCTTTAATCAAGGTGCTGCAGAAGTTTCCCTGCTTTACAAAGCAGCCGTTTCCCTCCTGACATCTTTGTCGGTCTACTTCGCCACACACTAACCCCGCTGGCCACTTCCTGGGAGGCCGGTTTCCATGGAGACTTCCCTTCAACTCCCACTTTGCCATTTCAGACCCAAAGAATCAGTTAAACATTGACTTGGTTATGCTCCTTTCTGAAAGTCTCAGTGGTTGGACTAGAAACCTCTGTTTATCATTAAACAATTCTCTAACACCAGGAAGGCCATTAACAGACATGGAGAGCAGAGGTTTAGAGAAGTCTTGAACTTGACCCTTTCATTGCATGGACCTTTAAACACCATCTGAAAGAACTACCGACTAAGTAAGGATAGCTAAATCACCTTTGGACATGAGAGGATGCATGCTACTCATCTGGGACTTTGTTAATCTTTCATTGTAATTGAAGAATTTATCTTCCAAATAGGTAAGGAAACAGCAGAATGGCTGAAATAATTTTATTTTTCTGTCCATAACTTGATCTACCTTTGAAGGAGATTGAATTTGTTGCAGGAGGATAGGGAGACACTAGGAATGTCCTCATCAATGAAGTGGAGGGGACAGATTTCAAGTTCTAATTGTTCATGTTCATCATATCCCTGTAGAGAAGTTCAAAGAAATTTATTTTTCATTTTTGCAAAAGTCATTTGTTAAGAAGCTAACATGGGTTTGGAAAATTTTGATAACTAACAGAGTTCATCTAAAAAGATGTTGGAGTTTAATTTTTTCCTACCGAACTCCCTTTGCACGTAACAACAACGTTCTCTGTGTCGGAGAAACTTGTAAGAAAGAATCATATATTAACAGCATCTGCAAACAGAATTATCTCTGGTGACCGGAGCCTATTTTAGCAATAAAGGTTAACATATCTGAACACTATCTAACCAGATTTATTTTTTGACACAATCAGTTTAAGTATTTCTAAGGACAGGAGAAAGTATTGCAAATTAACTAATGAACGAGAAGTTATAAGGGGAACTGTGAACTTCATGGATCTGGACCAGTGCGAAGAACTCAGCTCTCATTTTTTGCTTTACTCTTACCTAATTTTGGGAGACTATATGTGTGGAGAATATCAACCTTTGTAGAGGAAGTTGGTTAGTTGTTGAGGAAATTATTTTAAAAATGAAGGTTCATACCGTGTTTGTTTCTCTTTTTATTGCTGGCCACTGCCAACCTTGTAACTTGTGCAGATTACTTAACACATCCATGCCTCAATGTCCTCATCTGTAAAACGGGGTTAACAATAACTCATGAGGAATGAATCAATTGATTCCATTTGTACCTCTTAGCCAGCATTTTTCACCTGAGGAAATATTGCTACATGTGTACATATAATAGGATAGTACTTATTACTCATTGGTCAGAATCCTTTAAAATAGACATATGCCTGTCTAAAGGAGTTTACATCTAAGTATAGAAAAGACCAATGAAGAAACGGTAAATTAGTTGGTTCTTTTTAAATATAGTGCTTTAGGATTATTATTTAAAAAGTATTCATGCATTGGAAGAATTTTTATTAGAATGATGATAAAAAGTAATTTCAATTTCATTAAAAGAGGAAAAGGAGAATTTCATGTCACCTGTAGAGTTATATATAAGATATAATTTCTTTTTTATTAAAAAAATTTTTTTTCTTTACTGATTTTAGAGGGAGAGGAAGGGAGAAGGAGAGAGAGATAGAAACATCAATGAGAGAGAACATCAACTGGCCGCCTCCTGCATGCCCCCCACTGGGGATCAGGCCCACAACCTGGGCATGTGCCCTGACCGGGAATCGAACTGCTAACCTCTTGGTGCATGGGTCCACACGCAACCAATGCGCCACACCGGCTGGGCAAGATGTTATTTCTTAACCCCAACAGCTGAAAAACATTAAAAAGCTCCCACCTACCAAAATCTTGCCCACTCCTCAGACTATCTGTGATATTTTATAATGATCCCTCCCCAGTTCAAGAATGGTTATGAATATGCACGATTCTGTATAAAAGATGATAAAATATGACTTATTTGTAATAGTCAGAGTTCATGAATATGAAGTAAAAATATAAGTTTATAAATCTTTTTAAAAAATTTGTCTTCATTGTTGAAAGTATTACAGCTGTCCTCTGTTTTTCCCCCCATTGACTCCCTCTTCCCAGTTTATAAATCTCTTTAAATGAAGCAAAGAAGGAGCTAAAGTTTTCTAAGGCAGAAAATAGTGCTCAGAGAAAACTTTGTTATGAACAAGGGCACCGAGGAAAGAGAAGCTGGTGGGGGAGGAGCAGGAACCGATAGCGCCCGTGCTGTTCAACAGGTTAGGGACAGAGCCGCCAGTTTGCAGCAGCAGCACGGGCAGCCTCACTGGAGCGCCCACGGGAGGGCCTTGCACCAGCTTCCAGTGCTCAGAGCTCTCCTGCCTTGCGTGGAGACCGCGCTCCTCCAAGACACGGAATGAGCGAAGCACCCGTGATCCGCACTCCGAACCCTCCGCTTCAGCCTTTCCACCGGCGGGGTGGAGCCCCGGCTACCAGGCTGCTTTCTCAGGCAGAAATCGCTGCTTTTGTTCTCGGTTCACTCCTAACTCGGGCAAAACTGCTAAGGAAGCTTGTTTAGTGGATTTAAATCCTACAGTAACAATGCACCGTCATAGATGTGTAGATTTTTCTGCTCTCTAATAAGAGAACATTTATGCTTGAAAGATGGAGGGCTTTAAGTCTAAGTTTGGAGTGGGCGCGTGGTGAGGAATCCTTTACCCTGCTTTGCAGCCTGTTACAGCCTGATTTACACTACAGTGTCTCATCAGAGCCAGCAAGACAAAAGCTCCTCCCCCCCCCCCCCCCGTGTGGAAACATGACTTACCTTTGTTCATAAGATTGCAATATATTTTCTGTGTTTTTTTAATTTAATTTAATTTAATTTTTTCCATCACCATTTATCCCCTCTATGCCCTCTTCCACCTGCACCCCCACCCTGCAATCAACATAGGATTGTGATTTGCTAGCTCTTGTTTTGATGGACTTCCCCGGCTTGTCCACACTCTCTGGATAAGGTAGCTCTTGGAGAGACGGAGCCTGGGGAAGAGGGGCAGATTTTTCTGCAGGTAGCCCACGGGATACTACGTGAATTAACAGGTAATGAACGGTGTCTGCAATAGAGGGGGCAGGAGCAGCAGGTTCTAAGCAGCTACAGGCCATGTAAGACCGCACAGAAGCTCAACAGCTGTGTACACTCATGAGTAGTAAACCTTAACATTTAAACAACTTAACATTAGAGAAATGATGTTGCTTTCTCACGGACTACGGATATATACATTCGGATGTTTTTGAGTAGGCAGGTGATGACCCCTTAGGACGGGACAGTGGTGCTCTGGAGTCAGGTTGGTTAAATTGCCTTTGGATCCCTCAGCACGTGGTGTTCTTGGGAAGGGTTCAGACGGAATTGAAAACGCGTATGAATCTTCCTTCGGGTTGGATTTAATTTCGCACATCAGGTTGATTACTACGCATTGACCATTCAGAAGGTGGAGTTTAAATCCTAAGTGTTTACAGGATTCTTAAATTATGATTGTAATAAAGTTACAGCCTTTTCTGCAACTAATCTGTAATGGATAAGCCACCACTGCAGGCTTTTCAGCAACGTGAGTTATGTGTGTGTGTGGATGCCAGCTGAGCAGAGCTGATGTTTGACCAAACGTAATTGCCCTCCCAGGATTATTTCCTGCTGTCTTCATCCATGCGCTGGTGGGGGGTGGCAGTGCACCTCGGCCTCCTTGGTTTGGGCTGCTGAAGAAACGCAAACGGAGAACATGGGGATTGAAGCTTCCTGTATAAACTGTTAGATGAGGTCAGTTGAATCAAATGTATATTTTTCCCTTAACACACAGCCTGCAAGTGCATGACTGAATTCACTGCTAAAACCGAACCACCACACACCTGCTACCCTGAGGACAGCCAGTGCAGTTTCTTAAAAGGTGTTGCTAATGGGTTTAACTTAGGCCAAAGGATTTTTCTACATTTTATTTCTTATTGGGAGAACATCAAACTTTGGTTATAATAACCAAAGGTTTCCCTTTCCCTTTATTTCCCCTTTCATTCCATTTATTTCCAATCAAATGCAATGCCACTCTCGCTGTGATGGCCCTCCCTCTGACACATCCTCCCTCCCTCCCTCCCACCTTCCCTTCCTTCCTTCCAGATTACATTTTGACTGTTGTCTATAGATGTTTGTCTCAAGGATTTACACCTAAATTTAACTTTTAAAAAATTTTTTATCCTCACCTGAGGACATTTTTGCATTTATATTCAGATAGAGCAGGAGGGAGAGAGGGAGAGAGAGAAACATCAATGTGACACATCGACTGGCTGCCACCCACATGACCCCAACCGGAGCCGGGGACAAACTGCAACCGAGGTATGTGCCCTTGCGGGAACCGAACCCGGACTCTCTGGTCCATGGGTGATGCTCTAACCGCTGAGCAAAACTGGCCAGGGCTGAAGTTTAACTTTTAATACGTGTTCCCTGTTTTGTCTAAACAGTCATTCAGGATATAGGCTTAAATCAAATAACATACACTTTTTCCTAAAACAGAAGGCCTACTCTTACAGATACTGACTGAAATCAAATAGTGAGTTCCTCTTTTTTTTTTTTTTTCCTTTTTTAGAAATTTAATTGTGGTTGGAGAAGTGAAGATGTGAGCTTCTAAATTTTATTTTATTTTTCATTTGTTATTATTTCTTATTGTTGAAAGTATTACAAATTTCCCCCTTTTTTCTCCATTGACACCCTCCTTCCGACTCCCACCCCCTCCTGCCTTCCCCAGCCTAGAGTCCCTGTCAAATGGTTGTGCATATATGCATATAAGTTCTTTGGTTTATCTCTTCCCATCCCCCCCCACCCCCATCCTTCCC